TTTATTATTGTGTAAATACATTTTATTTCTTATATTTAATTCTTGCGTTTGTCATTCATTGGAGACCGAATTTCATGTCGGAATCCACAACAGTAAGCAGCGAATTTTAGTGAAGGAAGCCATAGGAAGGATGAGAAAGAACGAATGTCAACTGGTCGGCCAGCTACAGATAATCTCCGTGTAGGCAGCCTGTCTCAACCTGCAGAAAATGGCAGGTTGATTTCTTTACTTCTTTTTAGAAACGCAAGATTGCACTCGACATAAAACCTGGGGTCTGATGTGTTATGTACTGAGATCAAAAATTTGAATGATAACATTTATCACGTTTTGAGAATTTCGTTTTAAAGATCATCTAAAAAACTGTACAGAAATACATAATTACCGCAGGTTTTCCTTACAAACCGACATCAGAATTTTACTATTTCAAGAATAAAGTTGATATTTTTTATTAGATAAATTGAATGGGAAATATATTCAAACCAGAATTCTAATTATAAATAACCACATGCAAGATATATATATTTTTACAGTATTCGGTAAGTAAAAACTGTGTAAAAAAATTGTAAAAGATAGCAAAAATGGTTACTCAATGAATAAGATTTGTTTGATCATTTGTTAGATCATAATTGATATAAAAAAAGTAAATGTTGATATACCACCGTAATACTGCGCACAAATTATAATACAAAATGTTTTAAATTTGGATTGTTTATTGAAAATCCCACTAAAACTATTGCACTGTATAACATATTACATCATAATATAGCTATTTTTTTCAGTGCAAATTCCCTTTGAATTAAATGATGATCTTATTTTATGGCACAATGAATTAGGCTAATAATGTGCTTATGCCATGCATCTTATGTATATACTAGCAGTAGAGCCCAGCGTTGCCTGGGGATGTAACAGTAAGAGATATATCAAGTATCGATCATCATAAAGACTGAAAAATAAAATTGACAAAGATTATTGTTTAAGGTTGACGGACACCCATGTCTTAATTAGTTTTTTTGTTTTGTTTTGTTTTTTACGAATTGGTCAAACTCAAACAAAAACATTGTTTTCAATTGTTATGAGTCTACTGATTGAATTGTCTTGTAAATGGAATTTTAAAGCATTCTGAATGTAAAAATAAAGAAAAAAGTGTGTAAGACAATAAGAAACACTACCTGCCAAAAAAAAGTGAAGTTTTGTTGAAATCAGTTGAAAAATGTAGGAAATCCGATCCCATATATAAGCAAACATACACACACAAACAACCTGCGTTTTATAATAAGTATAACTTGATATGAGTTGTCCCCCTTTCATTTTTGCGATGCCTCTTAATCTTGTTTTTAAATTGATTTTGTGCAAAAACAATTGTTTTTCCAATTTTTGGTGCTGTCAGAACCACCGCAAGGTAATTTTACGTAGTCCTGTGAAGTTTTGTTGAAATCGGTTGAAAAATGTAGGAAATCCGATCCAATATATAAACGTACAGACACACACACACGCACACACACAACCTGGGTTTTATAATAAGTATGATTATTTTTAAATCTTCAGTAAATTATAAATTTTATACGGCCGTGCTATAAGGTTTTCACTGGTCACCGGAAAAATATTCCAAAGCTACGATTTTGAAGCTAAACTTAAACTTTAAATTCGTTTCCTTAAAATCAGTAACAATTTAGAAAAAAAATATTTTGTGTCATTATTTAGCATGTGAAACTTCAACTTTCAAATTGAGTACAATACCATCCTTCCAAAATCTACGTGCTCTAATGCATAAACCACTGCACGCCAAGGCATCTGGGAGCGGAAGGTATATTCACCCTCTTATTGCTGCATCAGTAGTGAACGTTTTCACGAGTTTTCAGTCTTATAATTAAACATAAATTAAAGACAATCCATCATTGTCCGTAATCCACACTGAAGGAGTTCATATACCACCCCACTCAGTTCGGACGGTCAAAATTCTTACCAATTCAGTAGAATTTGCCATTTTGGGTTTTGCTGCGCATTCCTCGGAATTGGCTTTTTGTCGATGGGGTCATATGACGCATTTGTATATCATAGTTATTTTTGCTAATAACACCCACTCAATTCAAGCAAATAGATAATAATAATAATAACAATAATTAAATAATAGTCATAAATCCTTGCAAAATAATTAAAAAATAGTCATAAATCCTTGCAAAATAATTTTTAAAAAATAGTCATAAATCCTTGCAAAGTAATTAAAAAATAGTCATAAATCCTTGCAAAATGATTAAAAAATAGTCATAAATACTTGCAAAATAATTAAAAAATAATCATAAATACTTGCAAAATGATTAAAACATAATCATAAATACTTGCAAAATAATTAAAAAATAGTCATAAATCCTTGCAAAATAATTAAAAAATAGTCTTAAATCCTTGCAAAAACAATTTTAAAAAATAGTCATAAATCCTTGCAAAATAATTAAAAAATAGTCATAAATCCTTGCAAAGTAATTAAAAAATAGTCATAAATCCTTGCAAAGTAATTAAAAAATAGTCATAAATCCTTGCAAAATTACCTGGCACATACCGGTTAGGGTTTATAATCTCTCATTTGCGTCTCTGTGTTCGGGCAGATACTCAACTGAGAAAAACGAAATATTAGTCATATCGAGACTAGCACAAGCGACGGTTGCGACGGCTAGGGCAATTTTCGGGTTAATTAGTTTTACTTGTCTAAGTAAGATTCTTGTTGTCCTTAAAAAAATCTTCCTATTTGGTTACGCTTAGCAGGTATAAAAAATGTCTAATATTTAAAAAGAAAACAAAAAAAAACTTTGCTTTTCAGACAAGGATAATGATATTTCTTAAATTTAACTATATTCATTTCGAAAACCGGGAATTTGATAATTCTCGTTCACGTAAAGTAAGACAAAAATGTCGTCAGCGGCGGTGACTTTATTTCGAATCCAAGAATTTAATTCCTTCTTCGTTGTTCACTTCCTTTATGATGAGTTGTTGATGATTAAATTCGCTGCCAACGTGCTGGTTCAAGACTCAGAAGATTCCAGTTTCACCAAAACCTGCTCCCGTCACCCATTACCTATCGCCGTTTTGATTTTGCAAGAGTTGGTACAAAATGAAAGAAAATCAGAATAGAATATGGCAGATCAGATGGCGTGAATTTGTTTAAAATGGACCTAAACTTGCCTGGAAGTGATCCACACACTTCTCCACTGCCTTAACTAGGTATTGAACTCACAACTCTTTTGGGTCCTGAGTGTACCTCATCTCAGAAATATAGCCAGATATTGAAGGATCGGTAGGGACCCGATACACCGAAAATATGGAAACAAATTGAGTCAGGACTTAAAAGAGTTTTGAGTTCAATACCTGGTTAAGGTGGTGGAGAACTTAGAGAGGTGAATTAACAAGAGATAACTGATAAGTGACATCCATTAAACATGGCACGTGGAACTAGAACAGTCTATCCTAGCGGGCGAAATAAAGGGTTCAGTTCGACATTCCAACCATCTGAAGAAGGCCGGAGTGTACAATGGCCGAAACGTTGTGATAAATATGGCAACAAAGATGAGGATAATAGTCCGAATAATGTAAATTGTGTGCAATTGTTTTACATATTAAATATTTAATCCCGTATTCATATCAGGCTTGACTAATACAACATTATATTACAAAGTAAATATCAATTCCGTTATGAGCTAACTTAAAAAAGTAATATAACCATGAAACCGCAGCTTGCAAAATCCGATAGAATGAAATGTTTGTTGTTCTTTTTTTTTATTAGTTTTCTATTCTTTCGCGTTACAGACCGCTGAAAGCTCACGCAAGTTGACTTTATAATGTTATTAAAAGTAGGGATTTCGTTTGTCTCTGAGATTAAATATATTTTTATTTTTCCACATATCTTTTCATAGAATTTCCGATCTACTTTTGGTTTCATCACGTGAATCTGGTATAACAATACATTATCGAAACTTCTTTTCTTCATCTTAAATCTACCAATGCGTCGACTTAAGTTATCTCAGAGAAACTGATAGTCATCTAATCTATAATAATAAAAAAAAAGAACATCCAATCCTCTGTCCGTCACACACTGTCTGTATGTGACTTTGCATCCGCGTGTGTACTGTAGATGTGTACGTCAGTTTTGTGCGTCTATGACTAACATGTTTTTGTGCTGCCTAATGAATACAAAAATGCACACAAACACACGCATACATACACACACAATCGAAGTTTGAAATGAAACATTGTTTTGTGAGGTAAGGTGGCCGTTAATGATTAAGTTTAACTCAAGAGTTCAATGTTAAGATAAAACAGTATTTAATTACAACTGAAAATAAATACTTAACAAGAACAAAGACGTAAAAGTCAACCAAAGATTAACCATTTCAGTGAATACCTTGTTAGAAGCTCGGCTCGGCTTAACATCCGGTAAATCCAAAATCAAAACTCAAATCTTCGACGCACAATAATTCACACTAATTCGACTGGATAGTTGAGAGTGTCACGCTCCACCCTCGGAGCCGGTAGTCACTAATTTTCTTCTTATAGTAATTTTCCAAGCGTAGCTCAGATGTGTCACAAGGCCGAAAGTATGGGGCACCCAGTATGGATCGAACTCAATACTTAGTCGTAATTGTTCTAGCAAGACTAGCTTGTTAACCATTACACCATCTCGATGTGCCCAATTTTCTTCCTATATGACACATTGAAATAATGCATTCCCTCTTCTGCACAGACTTACCAACTCCTATTCCGTGTTGAGCTATACGATCATAAAATTTGATATACTAAACATAAATTTTAAAACCTACAAAAATCATATAATAATAAGATTTTATTGAATTTTTCAAGGCGTACGACAACAACATATGGAAAAACCACTTCCTTTATTCCACCGAAATTAAGCAACGTCGAGCTTGGTCAGTTCCTAGATGGGTGACCATTTAGTAATACCAGATATTTAGTAGGCTTGGATGTACTCTCGGTATGGCGTACGGCGCATCAAGGTAAAACACCGGTTCCCATAAGATCACCGAAGTTAAGCAACGTTTAGCCGAGTCAGTACCTACATGGGGGACTGCTTTGGAATACCAGGTGCTGTAAACTTGGACGTGTGGGTAAGTGTAATGGATAATTGCTCGACATTGTTCAACCGATAGCCGAATTCCAGTTTCCGTTGGGTTCGTTATATGCACTTACGCAGTATAAATCCACTTCATCTTTCTCCCCAGCTATGGGTTAATTAGTAAGGCGGGCGCGCGAACGCACACATACACTGTGGGGAAAAAATTGCACCAATGAAAAGTGCATATAAAAAGGAAAAATCAAGAAGTACAAGCAATCAATTGATAATACCCGATGAAGAGTGGACGGAGTAATTCCCGGAGGGCCCGCCTACGAAACCTTGGAGTCGGGATACTGAAAGTAACATCATAGAGTTAAGTAACAAACCTTTTATTTGTATTAATTATATATATATATATATATATTTTAATTTATTTATTTGTAACAAACAGTTATTTCTGATGAAAAATTGAGGACAATTTGAAATATCAAATATATATAAAATAAATAAATACTTTCATAAAATAAAACATTATAATTTTCAATTTGAAACTTTTCTATATATATATATATATATATATATATATATATATATATATATATATATATATAATATATATATATATATCCCAAAAAACCACCTAAGTGTTAAAATACATTTTAAAAATGACAAATATTTTTTGAACCTTTTAATTTAGTTTTAATTTCAAGCCAATGGATTAAATTTCAATAATTTGCTTTGTATCAAACCGAATTTAAATTGTTTCGAATGATTTTTGTGAATAGCCAAAATCTGTCATATTGACAAATCTGTCAACACGGTATAATATCTTTATTAAAAGAAACTTTCAAAAATAAAATATACTTTTATGAAACTTTATTTGTGGAAGATTAACTGATTTAAAGATGAATTAATCTGAATTAAAACAGAGATTATTTACTTACATTTTAAAATGTCGCAGGAAACCATTTTGTTATTTTTTTGTGGTTTTATATATACTGTAAAATTACATGACGAATACAGCGTAAACGACTTTTAAAATTCTTTTTAACTAGCCAGTAAAATTAAAATTTTTAAACATCATAAACATTCAAATTATTTATTGAATCTTGGGTACTTTTACCTTATAGCAACGAAGACCCTTGCTGAGGAAATATGAGAAAATTACGAATAAATTTTAAATTGACTATAGTTACAGCTCTTATTTTCTGATAATGCCGTGTATGAACGTTTATATTTTTAAAAATCGGTACGTTTATACGCACAGAAAAAATTCAAAATGCTTTTTAAAATATTGGGTGTTGCTGAATTGTATTAAACGTTTCTATTTATGATTAGTAAATTTAGTTTTTATTAATTTTATTTAATGACAATGTTCTTTGACCGCTACAAACTAATACAGAATTTAAAAAAAATTAAAATTTTATAAGTTATTTTAATTAAGATAAAATGAAAACAATAATTGTAAAAATTCATTATTCATGGAAAACATTTTTTTTCTTAAGGCCATAGTTCCCATAATGTTAATAATGGTAATTAAAATTATTTCTAATTAAATAATGTCTTAGTTTTATCGCATTTTTTTTTTTTACGATTCAGAGCAGATTTTCTGTAAATGCGAGAATTGTAAGTCAAAACAAATTGATGATGCAAATTATCAGAGAATGAGTACTTATAACTAATATAGACATTAAGCGTTACAAACAAGAATTTCTCAAAATTTCACAAATTAAATAAGTGGTGTTGCTGGTGGGGCCGGTAACAGATGTAAAAAACATATTTTTACCAAGATTTTCTAGAAATGTAACGTTTCACAACGAATTCAATCATTCTTGAATAAGTCCTGAAAGTTACATTAAAATCCAATAATTATATGATTTTTGTAAGAATATTTAAATCAAAGTGATTTTCTACCTCAAAAACAAGCTGAAGTTGCCTGCACTAATTTATGGTCCCCCATCGATGCTAGATAAACAAGATTCTTAACCTAAATTATAAAGATTCTAAAACAGATTAAAAAAAGATAATTTTACACATGAAAAATGTATTTGGTTATTCCTATTAATAATAACACAAAAATTTTGACGATGAAACATTTTGTATTAGGTTTGGGGCATTTTTTCATCTTGTATGCTTATTTTGAGCGAATCTTTGGACGTACTCGTATATATATATATATAATGTTTCTTTTTATAGATACAAATATTTAATTTTTACATTCTTTTTATAGATATAAATATTTAAGTAAATGCTTTGTTTATAATAAACAGTATTAAATAACATTTACCGGCCTGAATGTCCGAGAAATCTTCATAGAAAATATTCGTCCTCCGACAGGATTCGAACCTGTATGCTATACGGAACCGTCATATAGCCTGACGTGCTTTTACCGATTTCGCCACAGAGGATCAATCGGTTAGCAAGGTCGAATTTACAGTTTTTAAACCTCAATCATCCATGAATCTCTTACGAACATTCATGTCTGCGTATCAAATGTAAACAAATGACGTCACACATTATGAAATGGACAAAGTCCGACAATTATTAAGACATTTTTATGTTTATACATTATTTTATAGATACAAATATTTAAGTAAATGCTCTGTTTAAAATAAACAGTATTAAATAACGTTTACCGGTAAATGTTATTTAATACTTTTTATTATAAACAGAGCATTTACTTAAATATTTGTATCTACAAGAAGAATGTTAAACATAAAGTTGTCTTAAAATAATTGTTTACTTTGTCCATTTCATAACGTGTGACGTCATATATATATATATATATATATATATATATATATATATATATATATATATATATATATATGAAATGAGAATGAATCGAATATAAATTCCAACGTTCGTAACATTAATGTAAAAAGGGCTCAATACAAAAGTAGAGCTCTATTCTTTATTTTAGGATATTACATCAACATGATTATGAACGTCATATAAATGCCGTCATCTTTCATCAGGCATTAGTAAATGACTGGTTAACCAAGCATTTATTAATGTCTGATGAGATGTACTGGTATAAATCGAAACATGATTGATTTATGTAGCGTCCATTCTCATGTTGATGTAATTATCCTAAAATAAAGTTTAAATGTGTTAAGTCCGAAAATTATTTAATGTATTTTCTTTTTATACGTTATTTTTATAGATACAATTTATTTAAGTAAATGGTATACCACGTCAGATCAAATGACGGTTTTTGTATAGGAATATAGGTTCGATTCCTGTCGGAGGACGCATATTTTCTACGAAATTGTCCGAACATTCAAACCGGTATACGCAATTAATACTGTTTAATGAAAAACAGAGCATTTACTTAAATGAAGTGAATCTATAAAAAAAACTAATTTATATACATATGGTGTCCAAATGAAACCCATTTGTACATTCGAAACGTGGAAGGTAATTTTTAGTCGACAACCAAAAGATGTTGTTAACCAGGCAACGGTGCTAACCGCGGCCGAGACAAACACAGCTGATTTCTTCCCTCATTAACGCGGCCCCGGGGTAGAACGATGTGCCTCCCCCTCACCGACCCTCGTTGCTGATCACACAAAGCAGCCAAACCTAGCAGCAGCCACCACCGAAGCCAGCCAGCCATTCCCAGTATTGTTGCCGAACTTAGCAGCAGCCCTCGCCGAAGCTAGCCGAATCTTATGCGATAGTACTTCTAAGGTCTACCAAGCCGCATCATATGCGACCGTCATTCTAAGGACGAACAGGCTACCCCAGCACTGCCCACGCTGATCGTCTCTCTTCGCGAACGCTGACGCAGTCCTCTCAAGGGCGAACATCCGAAGATCGACTGGACCTCGAATACAGCTGTTCCATCAGCCTGCCTCTTGGCTACCGCGCTGAACCAAAACGATCCTTCGACTGGCACTCACCGACTTCATGATTGAAGTACACCAAACAGTTCCTGTACATACTTTCGCCAGGTTGATAAATAAAATTTGGCTGAGATTTTGAAATCCTTGCCTTTGTTATCCTTGCCTCGGTCGTATTACCCTTACGTAATGTTTCTGCTTGCGGGGTTAACAGCACTTGCTTGATGCCCCGCAACAATATATATATATATATATATATATATATATATATATATATATATATATATATATATATATATATATATATATATCCTGTTTATACGTTTGCACGAAACATATATTTGCGTTTCGTGCTTTCGGTTTTCTTCGCTATTTACGCATGCGCAAGAAAGGTCGGGGACGCTGAGGAATTTAAATTCAGTTTATGTTTTCGGTATATAATGTAAACGATTTATCGGAGTAGTCGAATGTAGACCAATCCAGCAAATAAAAATATATCATTTTATACACCAAATCTACCACAACTAAAATGAAGTAGAATTTATCTAAGCTTAATATAAAATCTGCTACAACTATTTCTAAAACAATAAAAGATTTGATGCAAATCTTCAGGCCATAAATAAAGCACACCTTAAATCTACATCCTGGGAAAGGTAAAAAACCTCTTTTTCTCCCTCCGGCTATGGGTAAAATAGCAAGACAGACTGAGTTCTATAGCCTTGGATGGCAACCTGTCTAGGAGAAGGACAACTTCGAATTCAAAACCTGCGGAGCGTTATTTGGTGAGCTTGTGGCAAGTTGTGTATTCGGCTCTTCCATAAATTCCACTAAATTGAATTCAATTCAATTTCAATAAGCGCCTGAAGATTGTAATGTACCCGAAACTGAGAGTTGAACAAGCGGTGAGGAAAAATGTATATTTATTATGAGTAAAAATTTTAGCACTGTTATTATACATCGATCTCTGATTTATTACCACCAGAACTCAACGCACAATACTTTATATATTATATATATATATATATATATATATATGTGTGTGTGTGTGTGTGTGTGTGTGCGTGTGTCTGTGTGTGTGTGAATGGGTGTCTGTGTGTGTGTAATGTGTGTGTTAGATAGATAGATAGGTTTGCGATAATGATATATAAATTTTCATACATCAACAACACTATTGATGGAAAAATGCCTGACAA